AGAAGTAACCAAAAGAAAATAAAAGGCTGAACCTGAAAGCTGTATAATTTCTGGGATATGGCCCATGGGTACATTTTTTTTAAAGATAAAGTACACCAATCGTAATCCGATTATAAAATATTATTTTATTAAGTTTTTTTTATTATTAAAAATTATAAAAATGATATTTTAACTATAGAAGTTTATTAATTATTTAAAATTATAAAATAGTTACTCAACTATTCATTATATTCTAAATTCGTTCTTTTTCGTTAAAAAATAATGGTCGAATGAGATTGACGTTAACATGCTGATTGATATATGATAGTCGTTTAAGATTATGAGATCATATATTACCACGTCTCGATCAACAAATTAACGTCCAACTCAGACTGTCATCAAATTTTTTGATGAAGAAAGACGAGTTTAGAAAATAATGAATAGTTAAATGATCATTTTGTCATTTTTAATAGTCGAGGGATTCAACAAAACAACACACAATAACCGGGAGACTATTTTATAACTTTTAATAGTTGAAAGATTCAATAAAATAATATTCTATAGTCGATGAATCATTTATGCACTTTATTTTTTTAATAATTTATAATGTTTATAAAATAATATCTATTCAAAATCTTTCTTAAGAACATACGTAGACTTTATAAAAACACATATTCCAACTTCAAACTTTTAAAGAGAATAAAACTTATTTTAACCACTAACATCAGTAGATGATTTATTAACGGTTAAATGGACTTATAAAGGGACCAGTTTTGAACTTATCCCGTTGTGTCCTGGTATGTTGATGGTATTGCAAGTGTTGAGTTACCTCTTGCACATAGGGATGGGAATAGATTAAGTTGGATCAGATTTTTGGTTCACTTGATTTGACCCGAGAATAATGACCTGATTCGATATTAAATAATAATAAAAATATTATTTTTATTCAATAAAAATAGTGATTTAATTGAAAAATATTATATATAGAGAGATATTATTGTAATTATCCTTAAATATATAAGATACAATCATATTTTTTCAGGTCGGGTTGAGTTGGGTATTTTTCACCCTAAACTCAAATCCAACCCGACTCCAAACACAACATTTAAAAAACCTAACCCGACCTAACCCGAATCTAACAACTTAAAAAAAATCAATCTAATTCAATCGAGTCAAAATCCATCGAATTCAGGTAATATACCCATCCCTACTTGCACATCCGCTCTATCATATTGATTTGAAACTTATGAGGTAAGAAAGCTAGAAGATATTGACATGGATAATGTTTTCAATTTGATGTGATATAAATTAATAAAAATATAAATTCAGAACAATAAGAAAAAGAAAATTTAATTGCAAGAAATTTATTTTCTTTGATACTGATTATCAGTAGAAAATCTATTGAAAAGATTTATATTAAACAAGTTTATGCTATGATCAAGTAATTATTTTTATAAGTAAACATTGAGATTAGAGTTAAAAATTAAATTGCTTTTGTATATCTTTTTGTATTCTTTTACTTTTAATATCTGTAAAAAATTTCTTTTTATGGACATAATTTTTATTTTCAAAATATCTTTTACATAGATCTTAATACTTTTTATTATTATTTTATATATCATATTCGTTATTGTATCTTTATTAAAATAATTAAAAGAATCAACCCTCAATTGATCTAGTAAGATGAAACATTGAATCTATTAAGTAAGGTTAGGGGTTCGAATCTTGATATTTGCGAATGAAACAAACTAGATTAGTAGGATCACTATAGTCTCTCCAGAATTAGATCTAGATTAATCAATTAATAGATCGAATACAATAATTATAAAAAATCAAAAGAAAATGAAAGCTTGAACTTGTAGGCTGTATAATTTCCATTTATAGTGTATGGGCGATGGTCAGTGTGGCAGGTAAGGTTTGGATCATTGGATGTATAATGTATTATAATTTTAGCAAAGAAATAAGATATAAAATAACCTGATTGCGATTCAAAGAATGAAGCAAATATTTACGACAAAGATGGTTTGTCTTCTTGTGATTTTTTAACTCCTTTATGCACACTTTCCAATGGGGAGTGCTGATTCTTTTTTAAAAAATTATAAACATAAAATATATAAAAACAAAATAAATCGTGATAGCAAATCCCTGACCTACTGATAACAGGCATTGGGAACATATCCATACATATTATATACCACATCTGCATAACTCAGAAGAAATGCAATTTCATCAGCACTTCTTCCACTAGTCTTGCATAATTCTACCATGGATAACCAATTCAAGTTGCTCCCGTTGTCCTTCACCTTCCTTGTTCTCGTTACCACATGTTGTATTTCCGTTCAGTTCACTTTGGTCATATACTAAAATCATTTTGATATTCGTAGTTGATTTATCTCACGAATATCCACTTCTTAATATCGAATGCGCTCTAGCGTTGTGCTGAGCTGAGTAATACAATAATTATCATCAATTCAAACTTGAGGAGACGAACAAACATTCAAGTGGTACCTATGCTATTCGGGTACTGTCATAGCATTAGCGTTGGTAAACTCACTTAAGTTGAGTTCCATAACTTTTAAGGGTAGTACAACATCCATGTTTATTTGGATTCCTTAATGAATCCAAAACATTTACTTAGTCTAGGCCACAAGGGCATTTTGGTCATTTTGGTGCTCAATGTTTTGCCATTCATTCAAAGTTTGAGGATATCTATTCATTCCTGAGCTTGGTGATATTCTTGAGTTATTTATATTACAAGGGTATTTTGGTCATTTTACAGATCCAATGTATTTCAATCATTTTCTTCCGTCCGATCTTATTATTTAATCTTATCACTTACTTTAGTCATTTCAAACAATTCTGACCAAAGAGCACCTTCGATAAATCATTCTTCAGGTATTTACTTAATTTGGTAATTTCCAAGTTAAATCTCTTTTCAAATGTTACTAACGAATTTTCAGAAATTTTCTATACAAATGTAGGATCTCAACAATCAAATCAATAATTTATCGGTTTAAAAACAAATTCTCAGGTTACTCTCTCATTCAGAGTCAACTTGGACTATTTTCACATCTCAAGGGCACTTTCGTAATTTTGCACCCATATACTTTTGGTATTAACTCTTAACAAAAATAAATATAGTTTAGAGATCCTATGCTTAATTGCTTACCCAAACATTATCGGATCTTGAAATGATTCCTTAACAAACTTCTATTATCTTGCATAAACCATTTTGGGGTTAAAAACTGACAATCCAAATTTTCCAACATAACTAGCATTTCTTATGCATATTTGTAGTTTTATTATATCAATATGTCTTTTCAGAATTATTAATCAACTTCCAGGGATAATTCTTGTCATTCTATAACATAGGGGTATTTTCATAATTTTACCTAATCGAAGTATTCTCATAATCTAACATCCAAGTACCTTTAAATAGATAAATTATAATTCACAATTTCAGAACTGATTTCTTTATCACTCAATCACTGAATTTGTAATTCAATAGAGTCTGAACTAATTTATCACTTAAACCGTATTCGATTCGAATCCATCCATAATCAAACAGACATAATAGACCAATCATATACATGTCCATGCATTTATCCATTATCAACATGTTCCATAAAGCATAAAGAGGTAGTAATGTATTACCTCGATTTCCGTATAATAATGATAGACCCCAAAAACATATTCAAAACGTCAAAAAATGTCAGAATAGGTATACCCGGTCAAAGTTAAAAGTCGTTTAATGCCCGGTTAACGCCGGTCAAAGTTCTGGTCAACAGTGGTCAACGTCGGTCAAGTCAACAGTCGGCCGTTTTACACGAATATAACCCTAACCGAAATTAATTACAAAATTAGCCACCTTCTATAAATATTTACAAAACTAACACTCGCGTTTTTACACAAATAGCACCTAAACAGAATTTAATTACAAAATTAACACCTGCGGCGAGACGATGCCCACTCTCAGGGGGTGGTGCGTGTTTCTCGTGAACAATGATACGGTGTCGAAAAATTCCTAAAAGTTATTTTAAGTGATTTTGAGGCATTTACAAAGCTTGGTTTACAATTTTGAACGATGGAGAGTTCGATTTCAACAAATCCAAAACTTTGACCGCTTCACCTCCTCATGTGCCGCTGCTGACGGAGATAATGAGGACACCGGTAGACTTGGATCACGATGGTGTGGGAAGTGTCGAAAACGGATGGTAGGATTGTCGTGAATTGACGAAAAATCAACTGAAATCGAGTTAAAACCGACGATACTTCCAACTGAAATTAACGACGAACGACGACGATTCATAACGAAAGGTTTGAGGGGTTTTGTTCATCAGTTGACAACGAACACGATGGTGGTTTCAATTCGTCAATCGGACGCCGGAATATGAGTAGATCGGAGTTCAAAGAGAGATTGAGGGAAAGAGGAAAACTAGAAAAATACAACCCGCAACACGGGGAGAGTTTATAATTCTCTCCTAAAGAAAAATGGTTAAACTATGAGTTTAGCCACTGAACTTTCTACACTTCTTAAAATGGTCTATTAACTTTACGATTTTACAATTTAATCCTTAATTTTCTTCCAAAATACCAATTAAAATCACCATTTTAAAATTTCTAAAATTTAACCTAAATTGGGGTGTTACATATAATTTATAGGATATGAGAAACGGGCGGAGCAGGTGAGTTTATGATGTATTTTAGCAAAGTGATTACTTGTATAATAACCTGATTGTGATTCAAAGATGGTTTGGCTTCTTGTGATTTTCTTTAATTCCTTTATGCATACTTTTCTATTGTTTTGTTTAGAGTGGGTAATGTCATAAATCATAAAAGATCCAAAGCTTATGAAATTGGTGCAAAAGTTAGATTCTTGTTGGAAGATATGCTAGGTACTGTCCGGATGCTGAAAATCTTTACCGCATGATAATATATAGAAAAATTTTCGTAAAAATAAAATATATAGAAACAAAATAAACGTGATAATATTGGTAACACATTCATACAGTTATATACCGCATGCTCCATAAATTCAGAAGAAAAGCAATTTCATCAACACATTTTCCACTAGTCTTGCGTAGTTCTACCATGGATAACCAATTCAAGTTGCTGCCATTGTCCTTCACCTTCCTTGTTCTCATTATCACAGTGTTTAAGCTATGGATGAGATCCAAAATAAAGGAATCCCCCAAAAATCTACCTCCTTCCCCATGGAAACTACCTCTTATAGGGCACTTGCACCACTTAATCTTCTCTCTTCCCCATCACCGCTTGAGGGAATTAGCCAAAAGGCACGGTCCCGTGATGCACCTTCAACTCGGTGAATTATCACACGTTGTTGTTTCTTCTCCGGAGGCTGCGAAACAAGTGCTGAACACACATGATATCAATTTCGCTAACAGGCCCTTTCTCCTTGTTGCAGAAATCATATGGTATAATGGTTCAGATATTGCTTTTGCATCATATGGAGACTCCTGGAGGCAGCTTCGAAAAGTTTGCACATTGGAGCTGTTAAGTACGAAACGTGTACAGTCGTTCCGATCAATCAGAGAAGAGCAGATATCAAGCTTGATTAGATCAATCATTTCCAATGCCGGATCGGAAATCAACATTGGAGAAATGTTATTGAACTTGTCATACAACATCACTTTAAGGTCTGCTTTTTCCGGAAGATGCAAGCAGCATGAAACTTTTATTTCAACTCTAAGGAAAGTTTTGGAAGCTTTACATGGTTTTAGTATTGCTGATCTGTTTCCTTCCATCAAATTGCTTCCCGTGATTAGTGGGATGAGAGCCAAACTTAAGAGGCTTCACCATGAGTTAGACACGATGCTTGAAAGCATCATTGAAGAACATAGAGCAAGCGATGCAAATCCGAAGAACAGCGATGATGTGACAGATGATCTAGTTGATGTTCTTTTGAATCTTCAAGATCATGGAGGCCTTGAATTTCCGTTGACAACCGACAACATCAAAGCTGTTCTCCTGGTTGGTTTGATATTTCATATCTTGCAAAAATTTTTAGCCATTATATAAAAAAAATCTTCAAATTATACCTCTTCTCCCATTTAATAATCTAAATTTTTTTCGATCAATTTAAGTGCATAAGGTTACAGCCGTTATCATTTAGATGCATAAATCATTACAACCGTTAAAATTTTTTATTGAAAAACAATCAACTAATCAACATTTGGCACGCAACTTAATTTCTTATTTATTTTAATTTTTAAAAAATAAAATTCATATATTTCATAAAGAATTCTTAACTTCTCTTACTTTTCATAAAATACCCCAAGTCCTTCCATTACCCTGGAGACCACCATCACTGTCGGCTATCACTGACATCTGTTGACCACTCACCCAATAATAATTTTAATTTTCTTTAATTAAATAAGATTTTTAAAAGTTTTATAAACGTGTCACATGTCTTGACATAATTTTTTTAATGTATGTTACGATCTAGATGCCTAAATGATAATATTAACAACGTTAGATACTTAAATGAAAAAAAGATATGGTATAAGCATTTTTCTTTCTTTTTTTGGTACAAGCAAAGCTTACATTACATAAATGGGGAAGGGGATGTCTTGCATATATATCCTGTAAGTTTTGTAGTTTAACAAAGAAGAATTTTCAGGACATGCTCATGGCTGGAACCGAGACATCTTCAACTACAGTAGAATGGGCAATGTCGGAAATGATAAAAAATCCTAGAATCATGGAAAAAGCACAAGCCGAGGTGAGACAAGTCTATGAAAGAACAGGGAATGTGAATGAATCAAACCTTCATGAATTGAAGTACTTGAAGTTAGTTATCAAGGAAACTCTAAGACTACACCCTCCTGTACCTTTGCTACTTCCAAGAGAAAGTATGGAAAGATGTGAAATTAATGGATATGAGATACCAGCCAAGACTAAAGTGATTGTGAATGCATGGGCAATTGGAAGAGATTCCAACTACCGGGATGAAGCCGAGAGGTTTAATCCAGAGAGATTTATTGATAGTTCGGTCGACTATAAAGGCACTAACTTTGAGTTTATCCCGTTTGGTGTTGGAAGGAGGAAGTGCCCTGGCATCACATATAGTTTGGTTGTTGTTGAGTTTTCCCTTGCAAAATTGCTTTACCATTTTGATTGGAAACTCCTTAATGGAATAAAAAATGAGGATCTGGACATGTCTGAGGCCTTAGGCGTTACTGTTAGAAGAAAAAGATATTTGTGCCTGGTTCCCATTCCTTACAATGCACCAGCATCTATTCAATAGTTAGAATATATATCATGGATGAAATCTTTGTAAAACCAGTGTGTTGACGAAAACGGGTAAAGAAAACGAAAGAACACGAGAATTTTACGAGGTTCGGCAATGTGCTTACGTCCTCGGTGCCTAGGCGGCGCTAGAATTTTATTTAATGATATTTTAGGTCTAGGTTACATCTCTATTTATAATAGAAAACCCAGGTACATAATTACAAAATCAACCCTGTACCGTACCGCAGGGGCTACGCCCCCGCACCCCCAACCCACATAATTTGTAACCCCACAACGAGCCATACCTAACAAATCTCCACCTTGGCGAATATCCTGCCCCTTGGAAACTTCAATGTGGGTTGGGTTACCTTGCTTCTTTAACAACTCGAAACATTCAACAAGTCCAAGCAATGCTTGAACTTGTCTGTCGTAACTCGCTTGGTGAACATATCAGCGGCATTCTCATCAGTATGTACCTTCTGAAACAAAACCTCTCCAGATGCAACCAACTCTCTGATCTTGTGGAACCTTACATCAATATGTTTAGTTCTAGCACGATGCACCTGATTTTTAGCCAAGTGAATAGCACTTTGATTATCACAAAGCAACTGAACTCCACCTTGTTGAACACCCAACTCCTTCACTAAACCAGTAAGCCATAAAGCTTCTTTTGCAGCTTCAGCCGCTGCCATGTATTCAGCTTCAGTTGTAGATAGTGCCACGACAGATTGAACAGTAGACTTCCAGCAAATAGGCCCTCCACCAAGAGTAAACACATACCCTGTCGTAGATCTTCTATTATCCAAGTCACCTGCATAATCTGAATCCACATATCCTACAACCAAAGGATTATCCCGCTGACTCCCAAAAACAATTCCATGTCCCACAGTACCCTTTAAGTACCGAAAGATCCACTTGACTGCATCCCAATGTTGCTTACCAGGTTTAGACATGTACTTACAAACTTGACTAACAGCATGAGCTAAATCAGGACGAGTACATACCATCGCATACATCAAGCAGCCAACAGCATTAGAATACGGAACCTTTTCCATATTTTCAGCTTCCTTATCTGTCTTAGGGCACTGTTCTGATGAGAGCTTAAAGTGATTCGCCAATGGAGTGCTAACTGGTTTCGCGCTGCTCATCGCAAACCTTTCTAGCATTTTCTCAACATAACCCCGTTGAGATAGCCGCAGTTTCCTTGAGTCTCTGTCCCTGCAAATTTCCATTCCAAGAATTTTCTTTGCAGCACCTAAATCTTTCATATCAAATTCCTGACTCAATAAAGTTTTCAAACCGATAACATCATCCATGTTCTTCGCAGCAATCAACATATCATCAACATACAGTAATAGAAAAATAAAAGAACCATCATCAAGGCTCTTAACATAGACACAACAATCATACTCACATCGGTTGTAGCCAATCTTGATCATATAGGAGTCAAACCGTTTATACCACTGTCTCGGAGACTGTTTTAACCCGTACAAAGATTTCTTCAATCTGCAAACTAAATGCTCGTTTCTAGGTTGAGTGAAACCTTCAGGTTGCCGCATGTAGATCTGCTCCTCTAAATCACCATGCAAAAAAGCAGTTTTAACATCCATCTGCTCTAAATGCAAATCCCAACTAGCCACCAATGCAAGTACTGAATTTTATTCAATGATATTTTAGGTCTAGGTTACATCTCTATTTATAATAGAAAACCCTGGTACATAATTACAAAATCAACCATGTACCGTACCGCGGGGGCTACGCCCCCGCACCCCAACCCACATAATTTGTAACCCCACAACGAGCCATACCTAACACAGTGAGAAGATTATCAAATCATATTTCACTTGGCTGTTGTTGCTTCTGTTCTTAATTTGAAATTGTGATGATCTGTGTGTATTTATTATGTAAAATTGGAGAACAAAAAACTACCAAATGAGATATTAAAGCATATTTTAAGGGCAATGGTGTTGATCAATGTGTATGTAGTGTGTGATATTAAGTTTTATTGGGTCAATCTTTTCCAATACAGTATCGGAAATCAACATTGGGGAAATGTTATGCAACTTGTCATAATTTACTGAAGCTGAACATGAACACTTTTGCAAATATTCCTTTAAGGTCACACACTGTTGATGACATCAAGGAGGCCTTGAGAAAGGATAATAAGCAACGATTTAGCCTAATGGAAGGACGAGGGGAGCTTCTGATACGTACGTGCGCACCAAGGTCACACAGTGGAGTCCGAAAGCTTATTAAAAGAAATCCTTTCAGCTGCTGAAGTGCAAGTTTGCGTACATGGAACCTAGAAGAGGAATTTAGAATCAATTTTAGAGTCAGGTTTGAAGCGCATGAAATGATTGCATGTCCACTTCTCAAGTGGCTTGCCGAGTGATGGTGAAGTGATAAGTGGTATGAGACGAGATGTTAACATTTTGATCTATCTCAGTGTTAGAAAAGCTTTGGAAGAAGGAATGAAGCTGTACATTTCAGACAATAAAGATCTTGACTGGGGTTTGATGGGGTGGGGCATGTAAGAATTTTGAGAAGATAGAATCATGGCCGGATTGACGACCTACCTTTGTCAAATGTCGAAAATTGAATGACGAAGGATCAATTTTGTTCTCTCTTTATCGAACGTTGGTTTATATGTTTGTTTAGTATTTTTTTTATACTTGAAGATATGTTTATTTACGAAATCAAAAATAGTAAAATTATACCGCTAATTCTTAAAATTCATAGTTTAAACACCAAATTTTACTGTGTTCAATAAAAATAATGAAATTATAAATTATTTTTATATTATAAAAATTTCAATAAAATATAAATAAAATTTATTTTAATTAAATAAACAATATTTTAATTCAACTTTTTTATTGATTCTTTTTCTCAGCTCTAATTGTAGAGCGAGCAATATAAAAAATGCTAATACATCCAAAAGTACAATTTTCTTAAGAAACATATATTTTGAAACTATTTAAAACTAATTGTTAAAATAAAAATTACAAAAATTTCATATCAACATGCAAAAATGAATTAATAAATCCTTAGCCTCCAATATCCTTGACTTGAGTATTTTATTGCCGGGTAAGTGGGTATTTATGACTCCATCAATCGCTTGCATTATATCCTACAAACACTTGCATCATTTTTCCATTATTTTCTTCATTTATATTAATTTATTTGCCCACTTCTTGACTAGGGTAGGGATAGATTGAACAAGGACGGCTGAGAATAGTCGTTTACTTAAAATTTTAAATTATAATATATTCTAATTTTGTTATATTTTTATTATTAATATATTTTTGTTTTCTCTAAAATTTTAAAAAAATTATTCCATCCTAAACGAGTGAGGGTTCAACTTGAACAAATACTTTGGGAATCAAATGGGCAACATTTGTTTGCTTCACTTCTTCAACAGTTGTAGGTTGGGCTAAAATCAGTTGGGTTCATTTTGATTTTTATTTTTTATCTTAATTTTGAGTTTTGATTTTTTTTAACTTTATTTTCATAAAAATGTATTTATTTTACGAGTTTAAAGTATTATTTAATAATTTTTAAACTCTTTTGTCAGTATAAATTTTTATTAAAAAACAATTTTCAAATAAATAAAAAGGGATGAATAAATCCTTGGCCTCCCAACCGCTTTGACTTATTTATTGTAATATTGTCAAGTTGGTATTTATGATTCCTATCAATGTCCTGCATTCTGTTCAACGAACACTTGCATCATTTGACCATTATTTTCCTCATTTTATATAAATAATTTGCTCAATTATTGACTGGGGTCCTTCAATTTGAACAATTACTTTGAAAATCAAATAATTGACGTCATAAAATTAGTGAGAAAGTGGATTCCCTCCTTAAAATCAAATCCCAATAACAAATTGATTATTAATAGCACAAATAGCCTATAAAGTTTATCTAATTTCTAATAAGATTATTTTACACTTTAAAGTTTTATTTATTAGACTCATGGGGTGATCTCAATAATAAAATATTTATAAGGTGTACAAATATTCTTAATAGGTTAAAAAATCGATAAAATTAATTAAGGTATGATCATCTTAAAATATTTAAATTTTTAAAAAAAATTTAAGAGTAAAATTAACTACGATAATAAAGTTAGAATGCCGCTAACAATAATTGTAAACTGATTTTTCTATAGCATTGAATGCCAAGATTTTATTTCAATCCTATCAAATAATTGAATTCATAGTATAAATAAAGAATTCCTCCACTCAGAAATACTCATTCTCTAAACAAGGAGGAACAGTGGATGTCAAATCTACTCCTCTAGATTTCATGGAGTTTCAGTTCATCACCATCCCGTTTATCACCTTAGTTTTCTTGTTCATGGTTACGAGAATTGTAAGCAAAACAAAACCCAAAAACTCTATAGTTAGGAACCTCCCTCCTGGACCATGGAAGCTACCTTTGATAGGCAACATGCACCAACTGGTTAGCGCTTTGCCCCATCAAACCCTAAGAGATTTAGCCAACAAATATGGAGCTCTAATGCAGCTTCAGCTCGGTCAAGTTCCAACCATCGTGGTTTCATCTGCAGAAATAGCAAAGGAGATTATGAAAACCCATGATCTCATTTTCTCCCAAAGGCCTTACGTCCTTGCAGCTCAAATCATGGCTTACAATTCTACAGCAATTATTTTTACACCGTACGGGAACTATTGGCGACAAATGAGGAAAATCTGCATGATGGAGCTTTTAGGTGCAAACCGAGTCCAATCGTTCCAATCAATCAGAGAAGAAGAGGTGTCGAATCTCATCGAATCGATATATATCAATCAAGGTTCTCCGATCAATCTTAGCGAGAAAATTTATTCCATGACGTACGGTATAACGGCACGGTCAGCTTTGGCAAGAAAAGCAAAGAGCAAGTGGAATTCATAAGGATCATGGCGGAGCTTGTGAAGCTAGCTGGTGGGTTTTGTTTATCTGATATGTATCCTTCCAGTGAATTCCTTAAACTCATTAGTGGAATGAGGATTAAGCTAAACAAGCTACATCGGGC